AGACTCTGAGACTGCCCGTCTTTTCACCTCGGAGTCGGCGGATGGTCTGCCAGAATACTTTGTTTGCCGTCTGGAAATTCGACTCCAACACCTCATCGAAGTTCCCCCAGGAATCAGCTTTGGCTTTCTCACGCCTAGCGTGCCTCGACATATCGCACGCGAGTAGAAGGCTCTTTGTTTCCAGGCCATTTCTTGAACGCTGCTTTCTTTTCTTTAACTGCCAGTTGTTCGTCTCGTGTCCACCATGAAGATCTTTGCTGACCTCCAGGCGGCAGGTCAACCCGTTTATATCCGCGGCATTCTTCGGCAGCCTCGAGTATGCCGCTCTTAGAGAGCAGCCAGTCAACATCAGTTGTCATCACTGGCATCTGTTCAAACCGTGTGCGATGTTGTTTGCAAGATTGTCTCTCGTGTCCACGGAAGAAAATGTTTTCCCTTTGATTCTCCGGTTGCTTCTGCCACCATATTTTCGTATGGTTCTCCATTTCTTACAACGAAGGGTGCCAACAACAAAGTGATGATCGGTTGATAGCTCTGCGCCTCTCTTAACATGAACATCCATTATTGAGCGTCTTAAGTCAGACGATACGATTATCAAATCGATCATCGACTTCTGTGCACAAGCTTCCCTGTACTGATGCACTTTTCGATGCTCGAAGAAGGTGTTCATGATGGACAATCCCTTGTTTGCACAAAACCGCAACAACTTCATGCCGTTATTGTTGAGGACGCTATGGTCGCTTTTCCCATTCACGCCGTTCGACTTTTCAGGGTCTGCTGCGACGTGCGCATTAAAATCGCCCATCAGTATGAGGTACTCTGTATTCGATACCTCGGACAGAGCAAACTACCTTTCTTCAAGGAAGGTCGCATATTCTCCCTCCAAATTGGGCTCATAGACCCGTATTAAGGTCATCGATTTAGCCTGTTTTAGCTTCAGTCGGAGGATCACTACCCTTCCGCTGACAGCCTTCCAGTCGATAATTCTGTCGGCAACGGTTGTGTTCTACCAGAACACCAACGCCAGCCTGATCTCCGTGATATCGACACCTGAGTAGAATAGGTTTTACCCACTGAATTTCAGGATTGCCGAGCCTTGGCGTTTCGTTCACCAGAGTCCATCACTGTCGAGTTGGTACTTTAAGACGTCATCAACTAGTTCTTGTTCTTTTCCTCTGAGTGAGGATATTTTCCAATTTCTTACTTTCAGCTTCCAGTGGTGGTGTCTTTCTCGTGGAGCCTTTTTTGACGTTCTCTAATGGCATCGCGCTGTCTGTCCCTTTCGTTCAGAATGGGCAGCGATTCCGTTGCTGACTGGTGTCTTTGTCAGCGTCGTTGTGTTGCAACGCACCCGGCTGCCAGAAGGTAATGTGTAGGTTCTGATCGCCGACTTTTCGCAGTCTGCCTCAGTCCCCCAACAGCCTGCGCGGCCCGTGGTAACCCGGGCGACTACCGAGCCGGTATAGTTTTCGAAGGCGTCAATACCATGAGTGGTAGGTGGCTGAATTTTACGGAGACTTGCCACGGTCTCCAACTCTCCTCCTTTCTCATCCGGGTTTGGGACCGGCAACGGCGGAGTTGTCGATATTGATAACGTTTTACTTTCTGACGCTGAATTTATTGTAAGATGCAAATAGTAAAATGATATGCATAAATAAGTGCATTGCACATGCTCAATCCTTGCATAGTAAAAAACACTATTATGCAGTTAGTCGGAAATGTGCAATTGCACTGCGTTTTATGCCCTCCACTAAATAAACAATAAGCTTGCGGCAACCACCCTCCTTTGTTTCAAGGAAGAAAATGTAATTTTGTCATCGACATGAATATACTGCTCTTCATTAATTGCGGATACTGCTCTTCATTAATGATCGACAAGGAAGAGAAGAAAGCTGAAATTCGTTAATTAAGCAATCGAAAACCAGAAAATCAAATTATGGACTTGAGAGGTGAAGGAGAGCGTTCCTCGTT